AATTCCCTTGTGTTGCCCTTCAGGTGCTCTCCTGCTGATCTGGGATCCTTCTCTCCAGGCTCTGGGCATTTATTTCTGACACCAGCAGCTTTACTTTAATGTATCTTAAATGTATATCTCATTCTTGTATCTAGTATCTAGTGTGTGTGTATATATATATATATCTAATTTGTGTATTAAATTTTGAACATCCTGAATTATTTGTTTAGAAAATTAATCTTTTTAATGAGATCCTGGTATTTTAGTTTATTTTGCAACGGAGGGAAAAGAATTGCCTGAGTCCTGCCCAGCTATAATTCCCCTTGTTAACTGTTTTTGTTCATTCCAGTCCTAGGAAAGAGTTAAATTTTTAATGATAAAAATAGTTTCCACACTGAAAGTGTTGTCACTTAGCAGATTAATCTGAAAGATCTTAAACCATTTTATAAAGCTGTTTAAGATGCTGTTCTTCACATATGAGAAAATTAAAACTCTGCTGTTTAGAGGTTGATGTGTTCCAGTGGGGATTTTCTAGTAGAGGTGTCGACAGGTTGCTGGTGATCCTGTGTTATTAAAAAAAAAAAAAAAAAAGAAACCCAACATGAAGACTGTTTTGTTGTTTTTTGGTTGTTGGGTTTTTTTTAGGTATGGACAAAAATGAGCATAATTTGATATTACTGCTTGTTGGGCACACGTATCCATGGGGCATGCTGAGGTGTTTCCAAGGAGTAGCTTATTTTTAGGTGCTGTATGCCTGTAAGTTATTTATGCTTCCATTACTCTATTTTACCAAATGCAGCAGTTCAGATCCCTGAATCTTGTTCTTACCAATCAAATGGGTGCCTTGGGGGAAAAAACAGTCATGAAAAGTAAAAAACCAACCACGTTCTTCCCATTTTCTTGTTGGTCTTTCAGATTTCAAGGTTTTTCCTGCACTTTGCAGTGTCCTCTTCTTGGGGGTTAAAAAAAAAAAAAAGGAAAATGAGAATTTCCATGTAAACCTGAGAGGAGTGGCTCTCAGCAAAACAGCAACTACTAGAAAAGGAGATAAAATCCCAAGAGTTGCTAATGTGATAATAGTATCTCATATTCATTGAATGGAGTGCCTGTGCCTCAGTGCTGTCATGGGACTGTGAATGTGCTTTTAATCTCTTATTTCTCTAGAGAGGCAGATAAATCTGAACCCATTATGTGCCGAGGCAGGGCACAGGAATTTACAGGGTTTTTTCACAGGGAATTTTGCAGGGAATGAAGCTGCTGTCCTGGCTCTGGGGCATGTGTTCAGGGGGATTGGAGGGGATGGGGTGTGCCTTGCTCCAGCATTTCCAGCTGCTCTTGGAATGGTTTTTATGGTCAGCACGCACAGAGCAAGGGGAAAGGGCTGGGCTTGAGCAGCTGATGGGGAGAACCTGATGATAAATACTAATACCTAATGATAATACTAATTTAAATGATAAATACTGATGGGGCTTTGCACATCAGCCAGTGACCAGCTGGCAGCAGCCCCTGCTCCTCAGGTGGTGCCAGGTCCAAATGTCCTGGAGTCTCAGGATGCAGCTTGGGAAAATGGGACCAATGAGTAAAAGTGAGGGAATGGCAGTGGGTCAGAAGGAGAGGGAGGAATTGGAGTCAGAGATGTTCTGGGCAAGGTGAATTGAGTAAAGTGGGAAGAATTTGAGGGATATTGGATACGATCCATTTCTTGGTGGAGTTCAGGTCTCTGGACGGGGCACTCAATTTTATAAGCTGAGTCTTAATGTTGGAAAGGTCCTTTTCCTTTCTCATTCAAGAATTTGCTGTAATATTTGCCAAACTAGAAGGCTATCTCTGAAACAATCATTTTTTCATGGAAGGAGGCAGTGAGCTGCAAGGTTTTTTTTTACTGGTTTTTACTTTTGCAGGTGTGGATAATTTCACTGAGGTCTGTTGGGAGTGGTTCACCTTCACCAGCCCGTCCCTGAGTCTGGGAACTGGTGGTGCATCACTAGAGCTGCTCCTCAGGAATTGGGGAAGGAAATGTTGGGTCTTTTTCAGGTGTCTGAAGCCCATGGATGACTCACTGAATTAATTTATTGTTTTGAAAATGTTTTGAAAACAGGATTGCTAGTGGAGTTTAGGTCACCATGGAGCAGGATTCTTTAGCCTGGCCACCTTCCCTTCCCACCAACTGGCCAGCCAGCTGCAGAAAAAAAGCAGAGTTCTCCCAGCCTGTCCAGCAGTAGGAGAGGTTCAGTAGAGCCTTTTCCTGTAGGTAATGAGGGAAAATGGGAAATAGTGATGGAAAGTTCACTGCTTCAGTCCCCAGGTGCTGAAGGAGTCTGATTTGCCAGAGGAGCAGCAGCATTTCTGGAGAGGGATGCTCAGTTTGGGCACCCATGCATTGCACTGAGAGCTATTCTCATTTACCCAGCAGATTTTCCTTGGTTTGAATATATTTGTTTAACATTTTGCTTGGGCCTCAAAGGCTTTTGCAGATATTGTGATCATTCAGATTCACTTCATTACTACTAAAAATTAATATTTGCACTGTGGTGGCTTGAACTGTAAAACTGAGAAGGCTGATTGTGCTCTGTAGGCACAGAGGAAGGTACAAATTCCTGTTTCTACAACTTCCAGTGCAATTTCCTGCCTCTCAGAGGTTTTCAGAGTCGTTTTATCTATGCCACAAAAGCATAATGTAGGAAAACCCTAGAAATTAGATTTGTATGGGAAGGATGGTTCTGAAACCACCTAGAAAGTGAGAATAGCTCTGGTTTTTTTTCAGATCAGCCTGTTTAGTCTGAAAACAGAGGTCACCTTGTGACTGTTGGACTTTGGAAGCCTCTAATCCAGATCTGAGTGTGGAGAGGAGCTTATTTAGATGTCAAACTGTGAGGTGCAATTCTTTCAAAAAGGACAGGGGATTTTTTTTTTCCCCTCTCTGAAAGGCACTGGGAGACTGACTGACAGACAGCCAGATCTGTGAATCAGGCATCGTTATGACATCTTCAGTTGGGCATCTGGAAGTGGAAGCCCCTGAAATCTGTTAATCTGTTGTCAACTTTGAAAATCCTATTCTCCCCCCATCTCCCTCCCCCCAACTCCTGCCAGCTTTGAAAGTTCAAAGTGTGTGCTTTTTATCACATTTGTCATTCCTTGGTAGTGAAGCTCTGGCATTCAGAAATTTGGCTGACAACTTCGTGGGAATGAGCCAAAATCGAGTTCAACTTGCACCTTTCTGTGCTGCACCCAGTGCTGTTCTCAGGGAGAGGCAGAAGTCTGAGCCAGAGGGACTCCAGCCTCATTCATTGCCACAATTACTATCCTCTCCCTGGCGCCAAAATTCAGCTTGTTTTCTTTTTCCTGAGGTGGGTGGACAGGAACTGATGAGGTGTACACAGCAGGAGTGTTGAGACAGAAAGTGCCAAATCTAAACCATTTCTTCTCAGGCTGTTCTTTTCATCGTAAATAATGCAAAGGTCATAAATCTTCTGGAAGTCGTGTGAAATCAGTGCTGCAAAAGACTTAGAATGGTTCCAGGCAAGTTCAAACACTATTTTATGGAAGCTCAAGTCCAGCAGTGCAAGGTTTGATAATTTTAAGTACATTTAAATGCACATTTAAAGTAATTTAGATAACTAAATGGGATGTATAGCTCAAGCTGGGAGAGCTGGCTTTTGGGGAAGGAGCAGAGCTCAGAAATGAGGTTGAGGTAAGGTGCCCTGGGCATGGCTTGTGTCTTTATCCATGCCCAGTCCTGTGGATTACCATGGGGCAATGGTCTTTAAACAACATATCTAGTTATTTATTCAGAGGAAATGCTTAAATTTTCAAATGCTGGTGATTTTTCTCTTCTGTAGGTGTTTCTAAGTTAGCAACATAACTGCATTCCTGATGATTTTCTCACATACAAGTAAGATTAGTTTGGAGAGAAAACAAAATTTCAGATGTAATTTAATTCTCATTTACAGGCAGGTAGAATTAAAGTCGAATTTCTGGATTTTTGATTGCAACTGCACAGTGCATTTGAAGAGGCATCTCTGTCTGTCAAGCTGAGATATGCTCAATTATTGCCTTTGTGTGTCTACTGATTTAAACAAGAACTGACTGGAATGTGAATCCTAGAGGCAAAATTTATATATTTCTATATTTATTTTTATTTATTTATAAAGTTTATATATTTATAAAACTGCATACATGTCCTAAATTAATGCTGGTTCACAGTATTTACCTCAGTAATTATCAATTTTTTTTCCTAAATGAAACAGAAGTTCCTGATAAGGGAAAGACTTTCTTCTTGCTAGTGTATTGACTCAGCAGCTGATATATGATGTTCTCAGGGTTGATTTTTCTACTCTGTTGGAAAAGCACCTGGAGTTTCTGGTCTCCTGTCAAGGAATTGAAAGTTTGCACAGCTTCTTTTTTTCCCAGAGGTCATTAGTGAACATACAGAGAGACTTTATAAATCACATCTGGGCCCAGGTGATAAGCAGGAAACGAGTGGTTACACAGGCAGTGGCCAGTTCTGGGTGGGAGAGATGGGGATGATAAGCCACGATGTTGTAAATCACTGTCAGTGGCTACAGTGGAGCAACACCTTCCCTTTTTTTGGGATTTTACTGTGTGCACAGGTTGCCCAAAGAACTGGACAGCAAACCAGCTTTTTTCCTTGTCTGAGTTGCAGTTGCATCCGAAACTTTAGAGCTGGTAAACCCAAAGAGATGTTTCTAAACTGACTCAATCACAGGATGGTTTGGGATGGAAGAAACTTGGAAGATCATCTCATTCCACACCTTGCCATGTGCAAGGACACCTTCCACTGTCCCAGGGTGCTCCAAGTCCTGTCCAACCTGGCCTTGGACACCTCCAGGGATCCAGGGGCAGCCACAGCTCCTCTGGGCACCCTGTGCCAGGGCCTCATCCCTCTAATAATGAAGAATTGGTTCTTAATAAATACACCAGGCCCACTGTGTGACACACACGTGGCAAGCAGCTGCAGTCTGCTGTGCTAAGCATTTCTTTTCTTTCCTCCCCTTCCCCAGCAATCAAGGAGAAATACATGGACTGGACAGAGTTTCTCATCCAGGATCTGACCGGCGCCAGGACGGCCCCTGCGAATTTGCTGGAAGGTGTATGTATTAGATTGCAGTTCCTCCTCTTCCTCCTCCTCCTCGCTGTGTGCTTGCAGTGTCTGTGTGCCAGCCCTGGGACCTGACCCAGCCCTGCCCCAAAATCTCTGTCAGCAGTGCCTGGACTCTGCTGGCTCTGCTTCTCACCCAGTCACGGGGAGTTTGTTTTGCCTTTTAGTTCTTTAGACAGTTGGGTGCTCGTAAAAGGCCTGGTGGGAGAAGTAGAGCATGGGGGGGATCCACAGAAGGGAGAGCTCAGCATTTCAGTGCCCCATTAGATCCCTCAAACTGGTGGCCTGAGCTGCCAGTCCATCTCTGCCCCATCCCTGGAAGTGTTCAAAGCCAGGCTGGATGGGGCTTGGAGCAGTCTGGTCTAGTGGGAGGTGTCCCTGCCCGTGACATGGGTTTGGAACTGGATGATCTTTAAGGTCCCTTCCAACCCAAACCATTCTGTGGCACAGGTTGGAGAGGGGGTTTAGTAGGTTGATGGGGGACACTGTCAGGTTTATCTTTATATGGGAAGTGCTTCCTCGAGGACGTTCCCTCCACCTAAATCCAGCAGTGACATTTAGTGGGGAAAGTGTTGGGTGAGGTGCCTTCAGAAAATGCACCCATTTGGCCAAAAGCCCAGTCTGTGCAGCAAATCCATGGGGTGGCTTGCACCTGGGACAGCCTCAGTGTGCCTTGAGATCCTACCCAGAAATCCCACAGCTTCACCTTGAAACCAGGGGCAGCTTTTGCATCAGGACCTGCCCTGCTCTCCTGTGAGTGCTGTGGGGGCATTTGCCCAGGAGACAGATGATCCTGCAGGAGCCCCTCATTCTTTGTCCCTCTGTGCTGAGAGCAAGGGTATACAGGAATTTACCTTTGTGGAAGTGCTCATGTTGGCTTGTGGGAAGACAGTGTCCATCCGGGCACCATTTTTGATCATTTTGTCCCTGGTCACTTGCACTATCCACAGCTGCATCCTTTTTCCACGTGCCCAAGCAGCATGAACGTACCTGGCAGGGAGAATTAATATTGTACCATTAGGGTTTTTTCCCCTCATCTGAGGGATGAACAGCCTTGCAGACCCCAAATAATCCACATCCTCATCCTGCTGCATCCCCATTCCTGGACTACGCCCAGGTGGACACAAGAAATCTGATGGTGTCCAGCCCCCCCTCTGGTGTGTGCCAAACCTCCCCTTCCTGCGGGCAGGGAAGAGAGGCAGCCCCAGGCAGAAAAGCAGAGAGAGAAAACATTGTGTTGGCTTGAAACAGTTTCTGACCCTTTCCTGGTGTTTCATGTGCTCAGTGCTGTCTGTGTCGTGCAATGTATGTTGGCCCCTGTTGACAGATTTGCTGTTCATGAGTGCTGCAGATTGTTGTTAAGACTGTTAAATCAATATGTAGTGCTACTTTTTAAATTTTTGGTTTTTTTTTACGTGCCAGCTAGGCATGTGAAGGGTTCTTGCATGATGGTAAATGTTAATATTTCATGCAAGCTGATTATTAATCCTAGCCATTCAGTTCTCATGGGGTAAGTGACAGCCCATTGGCTTAAAATTTAGCACACAAATCAGGGAAGCAATATTCACTTTGATACAGCCAGGGATTTATTATAATAAGTTAAATCATTACACCATCGTTTCATATTAGAGAATATTTTGTTGCAAGCAGTTGTATGAGAGGGGAAAAAATCCACTTTAAAGTGGATTTGTGTTGTATTATTAAATTCTGACACTGTATTTTGCCATGAAATAATATTTGAAGAGATTATACAGATGCTTGCAGCTTGGACTGTAGAAAAGTAGCTTATTATGGCAAATATATTGTTCTGAGAAATATCTGTTAATCATAAGTTTGTTTAAAATTGTACATGTGATAAGCTTTTTGTTAATTTTAATTGCATTTTTTATCATATTCTCATGCTCTTGCCTGCTCTTTTGGATTAAGAGAGATGTATAAAAATTGATTGCGTCTCAAAATTTCAATATTTTCAATATTCAGTAGGAAAAATAACTTTTTGAAAAATAAGACTTTCTCCTTGTTTTGTTTTGTAGCCACTTTTAGAAAGAACCATCCTGGACTGACTCTTGATTTACAGAATTAATATTTTCAAAAGTAATGTGAGATGTTTATATGGTTTAATTAAGTAAAAGTGGGAGAAACACACAGGGAAAAGAAGGTCTTTGTTTTTAATGTATTTTGCCATTGCTTAGCATCTCCTTTGGGGACCAATGCTTCCAAGTCTTGGGGTCGTTTTAATGCTGCTCTTAAAACCCCAGAACTGAGACACTGCACAAGAATTCAAACTTGTATTTAATAACAAATAAGAAATCTAAGCATTATGTTAAAGCTTGAGAACACAGAGATGCTTACAGTCACAAAACAAAAACACTGAGCCCCAAAGGGGTTGTTCTGCAGAGCATCTCATGGTTTTTTAATGCCTGTGCTTGCAGGTGGAAAGTTGCACACATGTGTACATGGCTGCAAAACTGGTATCCCAGAAAATAACCATGTGGAAGCAAATAACCTCAGTCACTGGGATTTCTTGGGCATGGTGGCTTGACCCAACAAATCCTGTGTGCCTTGGGCTTGGAACCAAACCTGCTGTGGGCTTTGAGCTTTGGAATAACCCCCACAGACTCCTGCATCCATGGCTGCGGGGGAGAATTTGCTCACCATGCCAGTAGGAACAAGATTAAGCTGATCTTTGGTGAAAGAAATCAGTACACAGAGTGAAATTTCTGGGTCACGCACAAAGTAGTCACCTTTTAGGTAAATATTAGGGTCCAGTCCTGTGGTTGGTTCCTATCAGCTGCAATCAATGAGAATTTGTTTAAAATCCTTCAATACAACTGGGCTTTGAGTAGACCAGGAGCGTGTCCTAAATGGATGTGCCTTACGAGCTGTTCCACCTTTATTATTCTTTTTTTTGTTGTTGTTGTTGATGATGTCGGTTGAGAAATTAGCACAACTGTTGTTTTCTGTTTTACTTCTGAATTTGCACTTGGAAGACATTGGGTAAAATAGAAGAAGAACAGACTGTTTGCTGATCGCTTGGATGATGGTGTGAAAAACAAAAATAATCTTCTGCTGTCATCTGTTTCCTTGAGAAGTCTTCAAATAAAGTTTAAAATAAGGAGTTTTGCTTCTATTCAAACAGCCTCTGCGAGGAAAAAACCCTGTAGACCTCATTACAGTTGATTCCTTAATAGAGCTGCAGGATTCCCAGAATCCCTTTCAGTACTGGATAGTTAGTGTGGTTGAAAATGTTGGAGGAAGATTACGCCTTCGCTATGTGGGATTGGAGGAGACTGAATCCTATGACCAGTGGTTGTTTTACTTGGATTGCAGACTTCGACCAGTCGGTTGGTGTCAAGAGAATAAATACAGAATGGACCCACCTGCAGGTAAAGAACCTCCTTGAAATGTTGTCTCCCTTTGTGGGTGTTCACTGATGTTTTGAGATACTTTGTCCTTTTCCAGCATTCACATTGCTTTGTCAGTAGTGTCTGGCTGTGGCACAGATGGGAGGTGGTGAGATGCATCTAATTTGGGTTCAGAGTGGGTCAGGTGAACTGTATTGTTTATTAAATGAATTCAGCTGAAGTCTTTGCTAATCTGTCAGACCATATGAAACACCAGGAGATCACAGCTTGCAGATGAAGCTCTTTAGGGTTGAGTTTAGTGTTCAAACCAGCTTGAACGGAAAGGGATTGGGACTGCAGTTAAGCCAGTCTGGGATCACACATTGATCCACCTTCTCCTGTGTAGGTTAACAATGTGTCCAGGTCTGTGCCTCATTTTCTTTGTGCTGTGTAAGTTTTTCCATGAGTATTAAATTCACCTCCTCTGGGAAGGTGTTTCTGATGTGGCTTCTGTCCCTCACACCTAATGAGGAGAGTTGACCCTGACATGTTCAGTTCTCGTGTTCACAAGTTTGTCTGGGACTTGGGTCTTGAGTGCTTTTTGGAAGTGTGTGTTTTTCTTCACTGGTAGGTAGGAATCAATGTTCCCCATCACTTCTAAATTGTCGTGAGTGCTGGAGAGCATGAATATCACCCACTGTTATTTTACAGAGTCTTTGTGTTACAGAGAAACAACTTTTTCATTGACCATCTCTGAGCCCTCTTGGCCTGTATAGGTTTGGGGAATATAGAAATAGCTCAGAGGAGATTTGTGCTTCCTCTTTGTTCATTCCATCTGCTTTCTACTCTTTCCTCCTTTTATCCAGTTGTACATCCTTCTCTACCCCTTGTGCCTTTCTTTTAATTTTTTTCAGTTGTTTTTCTCTAAACTTGTTACTGGACTCGTTATGTGCTGGAGTTGTTTGCTTTTCTTCACCCCTCTCCTTGATTTAACTTTTAAAATTCCTGTCTCTTGTTCTTAACCTGTTTTCATCTGATAGCTGTTTCCTCTCCTTCCATTTCTCTGGTCATTCGCTTTTTAGTCAACATTGTTGTTAATGGACTCAATGCCCAGATCTTCTTCCTGACTTAAATAGGTCTCATTACTTTACATCTCCTAAAGCTGAGCCTTGTAGGATTTTGCTGTGAAAAGACCCTTCAGGTCTGAACTCTTCTTGTTTTGCCCAAATCCTCTCCAGATCACTGTTCCTGGGGTCTTTCATTGATCCCCCTTTCTGACCCAGCTGTCAGGCTCTGCCAGTCAGGAGTGGAAATTTGAGGAGTTTCTGGAGGCAGGAATGCTGGTTGTTCCACTCCTGATCATTTGATGTCCACCTAACACGGAATCACAGAATCATCAAGGTTGGAAAAAACCTTTACGATCTTCTCGTCCAACCATCCAGCATTTCCATGAGGCACAATGAATTAATGAAGTGTATGAGACATTAACTGAGAGGAAGAAGAGAGAAAAAAACCCAAGTGGCTCATCTTATGGGATCTGCTTCAAATTAGAGGTCTGTGAAAGGAATCTTGGAGCAGTCAGGGCAGCAGTAGTGAGTTGTGAGGACGAGATGCTGGCAGCAGAGAGCTCTAAAGAAACTCAGGGATGAGGCTATTAAACCACAAACTCAAAAAATGAAGTTTCCTATGGACTTGAGGCCGGGAGACTGTGTCAGGGGTACATCTCCTAGTGACTTCTTTAGGGAAGAGCATATGGACTAGGAAGATGTCTGTGTGAAAGACCTAGTGTGGACCCTCTTAGAAAGGAGAGATTCTGTGGGCAGTACCTTGTTTTTTTACACATCAGGGATTAGATTTACCTGCCATGGTGCAGGCATCAAAAGACAGTTCTGCATGAGAAGTCTCTGTCTCTTTATCATGGGTAGGATAAAGAGGGTGCTAAGACACACCTAACATAGGTAAGATGACATGACATCTTTTTAAGCCTATTTGTTTTCACTCACGGGGGTTGAAACCAATGAACACACACCTGGTTGTCCCAAATTTTGAACATCTGAAGCCAGTTAAGGTGAAACCTTAACTGAGAAAGGGAACAGCCTTGGACTGTGTATCAGAGCTGTTATGAATCTCCTCTGAAGAGATGCTGAGGACATGTAGCTGCTCCCACATCAGGCTGAGTGTCCCCTTGCTGTCAAACAAGGATGTTTTTATATATCACTTCTGCAGCTTGTGGCAGTGCTTTGCCTACCCCTGACATGGATGCTACATATCCACCCTGAGCTTTATTTCCCTCTGTGTCTGGGGTGTGACTTTTCCCTGTTGATCCACCTCTGACACCTGCCAGGTTTCACTTCCAGGTCAGTCTTTCAGGATGCAGAGCACCTCAGATAAAGGACATCCCATGGACCCAAACAATATTTTGGATGCAGGGTTCTCTTTCCTGAAACCACCCACATCCTAAGACCCACTTAATGTGAAGGAGGGTGCTCTGGGGCTTGGAACTAGGTGATGTCTAAGGTCCCTTCCAACCCAAACCATTCCATGGTTTTATGAAACAGCATCCCAGCTGTCTTCTTCAAACAACTCTGTATATCTCACAAGGCCATTGAACCTGAAGCAAAGGGGTTATAGCTTATTTTCCCCTTCAGATGTATATCTGAATCTGGAATAAGCCTCCTTGCTAGTGCAAATTGGCACAGGCTGCTTGACACAGAGCCACTGATGGCCTGAGCTCGGCTGTTTATGCAGGACGAGATCATCCCATTTTGTGCTACTTTCTGTTTAAATACAAATTGCCAGTCATTTTAATTGCTCACTGCTTGTGAACCCTAATACAAATTGACACAGTACACTTTGTTCAATTACCTGGAGCCCTGGCACTTAAATAAAATGCTTTATGCTCTTTTAACCGTGCAATTTAGTGTCCATGCACTTGCTCAGCATAAGCGAGATGCCACTAATTAAATGGGCACATGATATTCCTTGCTGGCCCTTGAAACCACTGGAATTGCCTCTGTATCTTGAATTTTGTTGACACTGCCCAGAGAAGTTGATGTTTGTTTTCACTGATTTTGGCCAGAGTTGACCAAAATGGCAGTTTCATCTTTCCTGTGCTTCACTGGCATCACAATAGAAAATGAGGGTCTGTTTCCAGCAGGGAAGCATCAGGCAGAGTTTTTCTGAAGTCAGACCTGAAACAACAGGCTGGCTGCAGCATGGGGCAAAATCATGTTGTGTTAAGTATTTCCCTGTAAATTAAACCAAAAAAGAAACGAGGTGAGTCGTCCCCTTCCCTGCCCTTCATGCTGATCAGAATTCCTGCAAGCAAGGGAGAAGTGGGGACAACAAAACTATAAAATAATGAACAATTAGGTAAAGAGTGCACTTCTTAACACTTGTGCCCGCTGCACATGCTGTAAACAAAGACTTGAAATCTATATTCCCATTAATAACCAGACAGCTGAGGAATTAAAAATACTGCCCTGAAAGGTTAACATTCCCCTTCAAGTGTGTTTAAATTCATATGCATATCCTTGATGTCTGTTCTGAAGTAGTGAGATTTGATATAGTGGAAGTATAAATACATCCACTTCAGTGAGTGATTCTGCAAATCCTGCTTTGATAAGGTCTTAAATCTGTTGAGTTCAGAGCATAAAATTCTCTTGTACCATCAGTGCTAGGTGGAAACAGTGCTTGCCAATTTCTTTTTTTTTTACACATATTTTTTATTCCCTCTTTCAGAATTGTAAGATACAGCAGTAACTCTTCTGCTAGCTAGTAAATATATATATGGTTATTAGATGTACAGGATTTAAATGCAAATTGGGCCAAATTGAACCTTGATGTGAATGTGGGGAGCTAGACTGGCCAAAGAAAAGCTCCACACTCTTCACTCTGTATCAAGGTTCGAGTTTATTACTGAGCAAATGTTCATTTCCATTTTAATAATTGTTGCAATCTATCTACCTATCTTCTCTCTTTGAGGCCTTGATATGAATGTTCTGCAATAACTTGTTACGTGCAAGATAACAATGTGTTTTCTAGGGCAAGAGTACATCCAATATAATGTTCCTCATCACACCATTGTTTCCTACATTGTTCCCTTTGATGATTCATAGGCATTTCACTGCACTGAACCATAAAGGGCTTGTTAATATCATGATTTAATAATATTAAACCTGTGTAAAGAAACTCACTGGAAGCAATGTGAAGCTGCACAAAGATGTTGCCTAAAAGTATAATGATGAAAATTCATAAGTGTAAGTCCTTGATCTAGTGTGATGCTCTGGTTTGAGTGTGATACCAAAAAATGTGTCTGGGTAGAGATTTAGCTGAAATGTTTCTTCCCACACCCACCAAAACCTTGCAATTAAAAAAAAAAAATCCAAAACCCAAACACTTTCTGATGAACAGGTGCCTTTATAATGATAATTTTTGTTTTGTTCAAATATGACTAATGTTGGCTGAAGACCTGAGGCTCCTCAAACTAGGAAACATCAGGTATTTTGAGAAATGAAATGAGAGTTTTTCACTATTTTCAAGGAATGAGATAATGTGATTCTCATTCCTTCAGCAGTATTTGAAGGATGTGAATTTTTCTGGGTTTTACTCCAGGTTATAAAACACAATCTTCCTTCAGTGTGCCCCTGCTGGCTGCTTTTGTGTTGAATTTATCCATGCTGCACAGCTTGGAGTATAGACACTGTTCATTTCACTTGCTCTGTCCATTCATATGACTTAAGGACTTTAGTCTTCCAAAAACGTTTGATCTCCAAACAGTCACCTCTTGGTTTTGTTGTTCTTTTTTTCTTTTTGTTATTGTCATCCCTTTAGATATCTATTCTCTGAAGACTATAACTGAGTGGAAATGCGCTCTGGAAAAATCCCTTAATGATGCAGCAAATTTTCCTCTTCCAATGGAAGTGTTCAAGGTAAAAATACTTTTCCTTTGCTTGTGGAACCCGTGATGAATAAATGTCATGCCATGTTTAGTAGCTAACGTTAAACTTTCTCTGGAAAGGCCTTTGCTGTAATACATAACCATGGAAGGTCACAAGTTGGATGTTTGTATAAAACACTTTTTATGTGTGGACTTATTTCTTGGTCGGTGTTTTCTGGGGGCTGGGGGTGGCCAGCAGGGATTTCTCCAGTTATTTTTCCTGTGTGTTACTCTGTTAGATATGTGCAAAGACATCATACATAACTGAAATAGTAAGGCTGTGAATATAAAACTTTACACAAGCTGAACAGATTTCTGTAAGCCTTGCACCAAAGTTTTCACCTGATCACAAGCCACAAGGTGGAGAAACCTCCTTCAGGGACCTGCAGTGGAAGTGAGAGATGATTTTGTTCCTACATCATCTTTTTTTAATTTATTGTTTTTTTTTTATTCTCACTCTGGTGCTTCAGCCCCAAGGCACTACCTTTAATTTCCTGTGTAAATCCGCACTGCTATTAACCGTGGTGGCTCCAGATAATCCTGATTTACAGCTGTGCCTGCCTGGTTTCCAGCAGTTCCGTCCTGGCTGGGATGGGATGGGCAGTGAGAGGATGCTCATGGAGGTGTGAGGTCCCCACCACCAGCCTGGGGACCCTCTGGGTTCCTTCCCAGCCCTTCACCAGAACTGCACTGGGATACTCCAAAACATCCCTGGAACTGGTGCAGTTCATGTGTGGATGTGGCACTTCTGGTGGCCTTGGCAGTGCTGGGTTAATGGTTGGACTTGGACCTTAGAGAGCTTTTCTAACTGAAACAATTTGATGGTTCTGTAATTGGAATAAGGCTCTTACCATGTCCCATTCTGGCTGCCACAAAACCCCAGTGCCACCTTCACCCTCCCTGCAGGGATGTGCCAGCAGCTTCCCGCGAGGCATCCAGGCTCCTCGCCCAGCTGGGATGCACTCAAATTAGCAACATTAATTTGGGGACACGTTGCTGATAGCCCAGGCTCATTGGCAGTGTGGCAGCTCTGCTGTGCTGGGAGAAGAGGGAAGATTGGTGTTGGCCTTGGGCACGGATGTGGGCTTGAGGAGCCCTGTGTTGGGATGGAAGTGGCGTGCAGAGAGTTCTGGGTCTCTGCCATTCGTCTCATCCAAGGCTTCCATCTGCCAACTCTATTAAAAGTTTGCATTGGCAGCTTCAAGATCAAAAATGCTTTGTGTGGGGCAGGGATTAAATCACAGAAGGGAATTTCTAATGTGTAAATTTTATTCCTGTCTGTGTGAAAGAGTGAAGAATGTTTCTGATGAGGCTCATGAAACATCCTTTTAAAAAAAAGTTTATGATTAACAGCTGTGTTGCTGGCTCTTACCAGTGTGCCAGACTTATACCCACTTATTTTAATTATTGCATGCAGGTCATAAATTTGAATTCTGCTAATCCCAGTTGCTGTGCTGTGTGCTTGGAGCTTGCAAAGATGTTCCTCTTAGAAGACAGTGCAAAACCTTGGAATGCTTGAATGGCCCAAGAGTAGAGTTACTTTGAGGCCAAGTGTGGCAAAAATGTCAATGTTTAGGTCCATGATTAGGTCAGTAGGACTTCTCTGTTTATTCCATAATGTGGAAGGTGAGCACAAGATGAGCAGCATTGAGATTTTGGTGATGTCTGAGCCCTGGTTCTGGTGCTGGGAAAGCAGGAGACTGAATAAACTTTCTGTGTGTGGGCATCACTTTATTCTGCCCATTTAGGGTGAATCAACCCCATTTTGTACATCTTAATTAAGGAGGAGAAGAAAAGATGTCATCTGTGCCTGTGAGCAAGTTTTCCTCTAGTAATGACTTAAACATGAGTTAAGGCTTTAGGAGACTATCTGGGAGTAAACTCAACTGATCTTGCAAAGAAAGCCAAGGATTATGTGTGGGACCTTCAAGTAGAATCCCAGATGCCAGCAAAGAGTGTCATATCCAAAGGTGTCTTTTATAACTTCCTTTTAATTTTAATTTTTTAAATTTTATTTACAAACCCAGCACACAAGTAGTGTCTCTACACGGTGCCTGGGGCTCCTTGCTATTGTAGCTGTTGTTTGTTAGATGAGATAAAAAACACAAGGTTTGACAGCTGGCAGTTCTTAGAGATCTTCTGGAAAGCTGAAAATGTCTACTTTGGCAGAGATGGTGACTGCACACTGAGCAGTTACATTCTGTTTTTTCCACATTTCCCTGCAGAATTCCCTGGCTGAGCAGGGTGTAGGTGTGTGCTTGCTCTTCATGAGCACATCCCCTGGGCTGGATTATGGCTTTAAATCCATGTTGTCCTCAAAGCTCTGCATGACTGAGGGAAGTGTCACTGTGGTGCCATCAAGCTGTCCCCAGGAGGTGGCACTGGCAGAGCAGAGCCACGTTTGTAGGGTGAGAAGCAGCTGCTCTCAGGGGTCTGCCAGCCCATTGCTGCTGTGACTCTCCTCAGTTTTGGTGTCACGGGGTTGGGTTCTGCCTGAAAACTCAAAAACCATGGGTTTGAGCCTGAATTATCAATGCTCAGAAGTGTGGCAGAGCTGAGCTTGGCATGTGGTGGTCTTCAGCAGCAGTTCCAAAAACCCCTTGCAGAAACACAGCCCTGATCCCCTCTTGGCAAGCAGGGAGAGGACGCCAGACCACAGGAGCCAGTTGCAAAAATCAGGAGAGAAGCCTGCAAACAGGATTTTTTTTTTCCTGGTGCTGTTTTACACTTGGCCATATGTTGGAAGTGTTTGTAAAATGCTTTAGGATCCTTTGAGAAAGGAACATGATGTTTAACTGTCACAAAATGCTGCTATTATGCAGCTACTAAACATAGTGTTTTGCAAACTGCACATCCTGGAATAAATTTTCCTCCTCACAAAAGCTTTTTGCAGTGCACCTGCTATTTTGTCGTTCCCTGCTTTTCAGAAAACATGTTGATCCTTGAAGAAAAATAAATACAGACAGGGTTTTCAAGGATGTGTGAACAGCTTAGGAGAACAAATCCTTCCAGAAGGCCACAACCCAAGGACATGTGTCCTTTGCTGTGTCTGCGCTGATTTCAGGGTGCTGTTGGGATGCTCCCACACTTGGTTTGGTACTGGCCATAAATGATGGCGTGGGCTTCAGGTGACACCTGATAAAATGGTCAGGGCTTGTTGTGAGTAGAGGTGGTCAAAATGTTACCAGGGCCTGATTTCAAGTTAAGTGGAACAATTTCAGTGGTTTGCTTCAGTGCTGGCATTGCTGATGCTCTCTAAGAGGGAGCCATGCTCCAAACACAGCCCTAACACTACATACCAGTGCATATTTTAGAGTTACAGCCCGGCAGCTTGTGTAAGATGAATTGGTTTCATTTCCTGGAGAGAGGCATTCAGGAGATCCTGGATATCCTCTCTGACCTGCCATTCTGCTTTCTCCAGTCTCCTGTGCTAGGTCTGTGCATCCCATGCAGATGGTGTGGATCCTTGCCTCAGACACCTCTATTTGGGCAGCTGAATTCTACCCAGGATTTGGGGTGCTCATCATCTTTCCTTGGATTTTGCATATTGGCATCCTGTTCCCAATTCCTGTGAAGTGAATCCTGATGAGTGGCTTGGATGGAGCTGTTAGCAGCCACATCTCTAAACCAAATCCTGATAAACTGCTTGAAGAGCAGCTAAGAGAGAGAGGTGTTAGATATCTAAGACACGTGGAAGTTCCTGATTTATAGCCTTTGGTCCCTTTCCTTACGCTCCTCCTTTCCTGAAGTTGTTGTTTGTTCTTTACAGCTCTAAATCTTTCTAGCAAAAACCCTTCTTTATTATCCCCAGCCCAGTGTTCCCTGTTCCCCTATTTCTGACTGAGGCTTCTGGATGTCTCCTGTTGCCAGTTAATAGTATTAATTAATAGTAAAACTAATGACATAGAAGGAATCAGTTGGGACAGATCTCTCCTAAGGAGGGAGATGAAGGCACCATCCACCACCCAGGCAAGAGCTGCCCCTAAAATTCTGGACAGAGTGGTTCTTCTAGTTCTGCACTCAAAAAACCTGAAGAGAAATATTGAACAGGACTCCTTCCTACCAAAAAAAAAAAAAAAGTTTTTTCCATTGGATGAACTATGCATTTTAGTAGTGAGAATAAGAGCAACACTTTCTCCAAGATGTTGATGGGTTTTTTTAAAAAAAAAAGGAAGACAGCATCTCTCAGAATTTAGTGACCATTGTGGGTGTTTCAGAGTGTTTTCCATACTGGCAGAGTTTAAATTAGAGAAACCCACAGGATCCTTTTAACTCATAGACAATCCTGACCTGGCCGCGTGAGTAGCCTTGAAGTCCAGCAGGGTTTTTGTGTCTTCATCCCCCTCAGTGGATGGGCATGTGCTGCTGCAGCAGCTTGAAAGGAGTGTGCCTTTGGTCTCCCTTGGAAGCCAAGCCTCAATCCCGAGCTCCTTCATGCCCTGATGCTTGGCTGGCCCTGGCTCGGCACGCTGTGGTTTAATAACCCGTGAGTTGCCACGTTGTCTGCAGGCTGCCAGATTATTTATACTCCATCTGTTCTCCCCCAGCCGTGGGCTCGCCAGCCCTTCTCCATGGCTGCTGTTTGCCTGGCTGGGAGACGTGCGTGGTGTCTTGGTTTGGAAGGACAGGTGTCTGCTAAGGAAGGCAGGAGCCTCCCCTGAAATGGCAAATGTAAACGCCCTCCCTCCGAATTGTTATAAATTTGAAATTAAGGGGGAGCTCTCAGGAAAAAATATGGGAGCAGGAATAACAGTTCTTTATTAGGGAAGAAAAGGATGAAATAAAAAATGCAGTAAACTGAAGCAGTGCTGACAGAGTCAGAACACAACCTGACACCCTGTGGGTCAGGGTCTTGGTAGCAGTCCAATTGGAATGGTGGCTGCAGCCCTCCTGGAGTGTCAGGTGTGGTTCTGCTGGAGCAGGGATCCTGTAGAAGGGTGTAGTCTTCCTCTGAAGATCCAGTGGAAGAGGCAGCTGCTCCTCTGGGAATCC